CTGATGGAGAGAGAACAGCCTTATGAGCGATCACTTAAGCTCGCAGGAATTCGACAAGTGCGGGAACGGACCTCGTTGGCAGTGAACATTATTGTGATAGCATGGAGATATCGGATAGGTTATGGGGAGGCATCAAGGAAAGTAAATCGTGCTGGATCTCAGGACCCCAGAGATCGGAAGACGGGCAGCGGATTCCTCCCAAGAAGGGGGAACAGCACTTTTAGTGGAACATCTTCCGGAGTACTTCCACTTGGTCAAAAGAAGGAGAGGAAGACGGGAGCAGGAACAGGAGAGATAGGTTGCAGTGAGCGAGGTTGATGAGGTTTGTGAGTTTGGGCAGACGGGGAGAAATCCGGGAAGTTGAGGTTTGGAGCAGCAACGGCGAGTGACGCACAACAGCTGACTCAAAATGGCACAACCACCCAACCAACCAACAGGGACCGCCAGCCGCCAGGCAGTGATGGAGAGGATGGAGCGGGTGGACGGTGGAGAATGGGGTTCTGCTGCAGCAGGCCTGGGTTCCGGGGAGTTGGGTTCTGCCTGGTCTGCAATCAAAGATGCCTGTTGTGGTTGCTTTTCGTTCGATGCTCGTCGTCGTCCCTTGGGTGTTTCGAGCTCGATCGTCCTGACAAATCTCATGTCATCGCTGGTTTGGCGGTATTGGTATCGCAAAGTACCATACGATATGGTACAGCTTGTAGTCAATGGCTTGCATAATCCCCCATTGAGCCAATAGGATGCTCCGATCTCACTTGCGGCACAAAGCCGCCGCGTACCAGCGAAAGATAAAGTTGGTATTGTATTATACAATACGGTATCGGATTTCAACCCAACCGATCACATACGCCATTCCTCAGTCATCTGAGGTCACTCTCATGTATAACTACTCAAATGGTGCGAGAACAGATATATACTACGACAGATAGACTGCGTTTGGCCTGTGAAGTAACAGTTCTCTTCCTACCCCGAATCGCAATACTTGAGCAGACCCATGGGATGCCGGGTTCTCCATCACCAAACAAATGGCTGGACAGCTGGCTTGGGCTCACATAATGTCTGGACCAGCAGATGATAAACCACCCAAACCGCCAACAGACCCAGGCCCAGGGCTCCAGACGACTCAGACGAGGCAGAAGGCCAGGCTCCTTTACTGCAACTGGCTGCCTCACCCCATTCCCAGGCCGCGCACATTTGCTGCTACTGGTGCTTCACTCGCAATACCACGCCCATGCATCGACGCAACGACAAGCAATAATACTAGTATTTTTGCCTGGAGTCGGCTTCTTTTATTCTACTCTCTTCCCAACCCAGCCATGCCCACTCAATGAACCTCTTTCCTCCAGTTGCGAACGCTGTTTTTATGTATGATAATCGCCAAAACAGCTGGGAAGTTTCAGGAGACTTGTGCTGCAGCTGCAGATCCCTCGCCCGCTCCACATTTTACAGCGTACTTTTACTTCTCCACACAGCAACTTCTTTCTGTTTGACTGGACTGGATTGGATGGATCCAGGATTGGCGTCCATCGGCCCACCGGCCCTGCTTATTTTAGTAATAAGGTAACAGTTATCCACAAGCTTCTAGTTAACACCATTTTTCTTAGCGACAGACACACAAAAGCATAAGAAGCGCACGAGAATGCAAGGGGACGCAAGCGTTGAGGTTGGAGCCGGCACTCGGTCTATTCCTTGGACCAAAAACCCGGTTATTGTCACAATGAGATCAAAGCGGTGAACAACGTGGCACGTTATGAACCCAGAGCGAAGCTAGGATCTATTTAATGGATGAATGTGTCCGGGTCAGAGGAGAATCCCGTTGTTTCAAGGAAGGGAGGGGACCTGAGGAAACCTCAGTTCATGAAACCCGTCCTGCAGCTTCCGGTCATGGGCCGAAGAAGGTAGTCGTCGGGAATGGCTTCGCCCGGCGAATCTCGTCTCAACCCTTCAATAAATACAGCTACTCATCTAGGGACCCGTGATTGGCTAAGACAAAAAAAAAAAAAAAAAACGATATATCTCGCTGCTCTCTTTTTTGTGCGTCTGAGGTTGAGGTTTCGGGTGTTTCCTAGTATATGTACGCACCCCGTACCTCGATAAAAGGTAGCCCAAGCTCGTCAAATGATAGGAGAAGCATGTAATGAAGCGGATTACTGCATTGGAAAAAGCATGTCGTAGCACATCTTTATAAAACGATGAGCTGTCAAACCTGTATAACAATTATCACTATATAATAATCCTTTTTCATGAAGTTTCGGGGCCGAGCGCTTGTTATTTTGCAAAGTTCTCTCTCTCTCTCTCTCTCTCTCTTCTTTTTTTTCCTTCGAAATATTGGTGCTTAGCTCACTAAGTTTCTCTTCCCCTCTCCCCATTGAGGTCATTCTTTGCTTCGTGTACAAGACGAAAACGTGACGAGAAGCTGTCATGCAATCTAGAAGCACTTCCAAGGCCTGTGACTGGACTGACTGGCCTCGTCTCGTGAGTTTGCAAGCTTGACCAGCCACCAAGAAATCGACACAGGATAGAGCGAGAATGACAACGACTCGCGAGCAGCTCTTGTGCCAGGCTCCGGGTCATGAGCAGTGAAGGCTGTCGCGTCCCGATCTTGGCTCCTGCTCTTAAGCCTCCTCCTTTCAACCCTGCAGCTTGGTCTTGGTCAAGGCGACACCGCCGCCGTTGAGGTTAGCGGAGCGAAAGTTGCTCATTTGCCCGCCAATAATGGGCGCTCTGCTGGCAGCAAACTACGGGCCCGGCCAGCCAAACAAGCGCTAGGGCGGAGAGAGTGCAATCGAGGCCGATTTGTCGATTGAATTTTATGCCCTTTCTTTTTGATTCTGGCCTCGAAGCAAGCAAACATGCATACATGCAATCCAGGCAGGGGAATTTTTCCCCATTCCAGCGGTCAATCATTGTGGATTTATTTTCTTTTTTTTTTTTTTTCTTTTTTTTTTTTTTTTTTTTTTTTTTTTCCTTTCCCGCGGAGTACATACTTGGCTTTGATGGTGATGTTTGGCTTGATTGAGCCTCCGGCTGGTCAGTCTATGTGTTTCGCAACGGCCGACCACAACAGCACCCGAAGGGGACAGCAAAATATGATGGATAACAATCGGACAATTCTTGATACTGCTTCGATGCCGACTGGGGTTTCAAGCTTGCGTCTTCTTGTCATTTCGCTAGGCTACCAAAGTTTTTTTTAGGGGGTCTTCTTTGGCGTTCTTCAGAGCACAGCGTTGCCTAATTGCCCGGCCGAGAGGCAATTGCTGCCTGGGATATGAAACGAGCTCAAGAGCTGGCCATGAAAAGAAGAAGAAGAAGAAGAAGAAGAAGAAGAATCGAGATGCTTTTGCGTTCGAGTTGTGCTGTTGTTGCGTTGTAACCCCCTCGTCTTCGATCGATGGACGAGAACGGCATCCTCGATAGAAGCACTTGCTTGGAAGGGATGAATATGGGGATTCTCTGAGCTGCGTTTTCTGCGATTTGGGCATTATCCTTTCTGCCATGAGACTGCGAGAGTAGAAGCCTTGTAGAGATACAGCGGAGTTCGTCCAAGTCACGAAGCCGAAGACTCGAATAAATGGAATAGTGGCTGAGCAAGTTATGAGGATATCATTCCAGTTGTATTTTATTATGGAATATCATCATATGGGAAAGGGAAAAAAAAAAAAAAAAAGCGTTGGATTCGTCGTCAATTGCCAGTGTCGGAACGATGGAATGTCCGAATATTGACCCAAATACTGAATATAAAAAGAATATTCACTATGACAACTCTGATAATTACATGATAAAAGGCAGTATTTATAAGGAAGGGAATGCTCGATTATACGAGCGAGACTGTGCTCAGGTCTCAAGAATCCAGAGGTGATATAAAATCTCTGATATAACTTCAAATTATCCATGATGGCCAGTTTGACACATCTAGTTCCTCAACCTGATATCTCGCCGAGTTCACCCAGAATCTCCCAGCCATAGCTGCGATTCCTATCCCTCTATTCCATACTCGTTTCTCATCTCCAGATCAAACACGGGGAAAATGCTCTCGACCTCTCGCCCGGCCTCATGGAGCGGTTTGCGGGCTGTGATTGGCTCGAGTGGGTTTACTTTCACCGGGCGATGACTGATCCCATCTCCAGCAAACCTCTGCCAGAGCAAATACCCTTAATCCTCCTCCGCGTTCTTCTCTCGTCCACCGTCAACGGCAACATTAGACAGGAATACAGCATGCCATTGACAGTCGCGGCTATTTGGGCCCTGCATTGACACAAACGCTTTCTATCCTCGGCAAATATCGAGCCCTACAGTGCACTAACTACGACTACGGCCGTCGCCACAACGTAAAACTATTCGCCGATTTCCACCTTTCGCTCGTCAATCTCTCCACGGCAGACAGCACCATCGGAACGGGACAGACCTCTTCCATTCGAATCGCTATATATCCATAGCTGCGCACATTCATTCGCCGGACGAGCAATACCCGATCTTTCTCGTTCCCTGTCTGTCTCGCAACCCTAGCTTTGTCCTACACTCCCCTGAGCAAGAAACAAAAAAGGGAACTTGCAACAGCCAACCCCGCGATCCGTCGAATCGAGGCGACACCGCGGTTTAAACCCTATTCGGGGTGTTCAATAACTGGGGGGTCCTCTGTCCGGGATCCTGCCACCGCCCCACGCAAAAGCACATGAGTAGCAAACTCTGGCAGTATTTTCTCCAAGATGATGTCCAGAGCTTCACACGGTTTCTGGCAGACACCACCAGCTCCAATACTCAACGGAAAAGCAGTAGCAATGCATCTGCCTTTTCGGGCCATGGAAGCTCCGGAGCCGCGCTAGGGACATCACCAGGCTCGTTCTTGAAAGGTTCCCACCCAACTGCTGCTTCATCGCCGAAGCAGCCCTCCTCCACCACGCGGAATGCGCCTGTTATATTGACTCGCGCTGATGTCAATGTGAAGGATCACTATGGCCGCACGTTATTGCACCTAATAGCTTCGTCGCAGAAGGAAAATGCGATTGAATTTGCTTCTTCGCTGCTGGAGGTGCCTTTCGTGGATATATATGCCCAGGATCTGGAGAGCGGGTGGACTGCGCTCCATCGCGCGCTATACGCTGGGAACGTGGCCATTGCGCAGGCCCTTCTTGCGAGGGATATTCGCGATGCTACTGATTTCAGGCCGCCCGGAGGAATCCCCCACCCATCGGGTGGTCTGATCAAGATCAAAGACCGCGAGGGAAACAGCCCCTTCGACGTCTTTGGAGCGACTATTCTGCCTCGCGATATCAACAATGCTTCGGAATATAAGTCTAATTCAGATTCAGATGATGCAGCGTCAACCGAGTCTTCCATCTTGTCCGAAACAGAGATTGTGCATGAGACGGCCTGGCCGGCGAACGTAAAGCCTGTGGTCAATATACTTGGTGATGAGGTATTCACTTTCGGTAGCAACAAGAATCTTAATCTTGGGCTGGGTGATGAGGATGACCGCCAATTCCCCGAGCGGATCTGCCTCACTCGCCCAGATCATCTGTTATACACTTTCAATCGCGACCACAGAGTAGTTCGTGCTGCCCGTAGAGGGTCAGATCCCCATGTCGAAGAGTCTGATATCCATTCTGTCAATGATATTCCTACTTTGGTTCGAGCGCGTCCCATCATCTACCAACAAATTGTGATGTCAAAACTACACACCGGAATCATTACAGATGACCCGGAGTCGAATCTGTTTATGTGCGGGTTTGGTCCAGGAGGGAGGTTGGGAACTGGTGACCAAGGTACTAGATTCAGTTTTGTTTGCATCGAGGGCGGCGGTCTTGCGGGGAAGAAGGTAGTTTCCCTGGCCCTTGGCCAAGACCATTCCATCGCCGTCTCTGAACAGGGAGAGGTGTTCAGCTGGGGAAGTAATAAGTACGGACAGCTGGGATACGCGCTTCCCAAAACCATCCACAAGAACGATGTGCCCATCCAAACTACTCCGCGGCAAATCTTCAACCCTTTCAAGAAAGAAGCCATTATCGGCGCGGCTGCTTCTGCCATCCATTCTGTTGTATTTACGCCCACAGGTCTATATACGTTCGGTAAGAATGAAGGTCAGTTGGGTCTCATCGATGCCGATGCCCGCTCTCTCGAGACACAAACAATTCCCCGGAGGGTTGGCGCGTCGCTGTTCAGTTCGCCCATTGTGATGGTTTCAGCAATCGATCGAGCCACGACCTGTTTGCTCGAAAACCACGAAGTTTGGGTCTTCACCCATTACGGTTACTCTAAAATTGTCTTCCCCCTTGATGGTGCGTCGAGCTTCATCCGAAACAGCTTCATGTCGACGAGATACGGCTTATCCACCAATCACATTTCTAAAATCACATCTGGCGGCAATACTATATGCGCGATGTCGACATTCGGCGAAGTCTATACAGTTCATGTTAGCCGCAAGGCGGATACTAGTTCTACAGCATCATCCACCACCAACCCAGCCAAGATCCGAAATTCGTTGCCGCAGCCGTCTCGCGTGTGGTCTATCAAAAAATCCCACATGGCTGTCCGAGACGTTGACGTTGGTCAAGATGGATCCATCATTTTATGCACCGAGTCTGGCTCTGCGTGGAGAAAGGAAAAGCGCGCCAAGATCAAGGAGGCTGATGGCAAAACCACAGGAACTTCTCGTTTGAAAGACTACAAATTTGTTCGGGTTCCGGGCCTTTCCCGCGTCGTAGCTGTTAGGAGTAATGCGTTCGGGGCATACGCGGTTTCTCAGCGCAGTTGCGACGTGGCTAAAGAGCAAATAATGATTGATCGTCCCTCTATATGGGATGATTTCTGGCCCCTCTTAGCATTTAAAAGCATATTGAGGGATCGGGACTCTGGTGATACCTTGGTGATGTCCATGGATGTCGTTATAAGGAACACGCTTATCGAGCCTTGCAGCCTTGAGTCGGAAATCAAGCTAACATTGGATGATGCTGTTCGCTCCGATTCCTTTCGACCAATTGTTTGGGTGTCGACAACTGCCTCGGATGTTCGAATTCCTGCACATGAGTTCATTCTGACTGGCCGAAGCTCGGTTTTGAGAAGGGCTTTGTCTGAATTCCGTAAGTCGTATTATCATTCCGTTCCAGACACCTTCGACATCGAGTACGATAAGAACGGCCAGGTTTCAATCAAGTTTCACGACGTCGACTTCCTGGCCATATTCAACCTGGTGCTGTATATGTATGCAGACAAGGTCTATGATGTGTGGACGCTAGTGCGCCACTCACCCAAACATGCGGCGCAGTACAAACGGGTTCGAATCGAAGTCTTGAAGCTAGCAACGGCACTTGAACTTCGTGAGCTTGAGCGTGCTGCGAGATTCATGATTTTGCCTAGGAAAAGTTTACACATAAATATGGAGCGGGCGTATGAGGATCCCAGCCTCTTTGGATGTAGTGACGTGGTGATTGAACTTGATGGCGGCAATGCAAGCGCCCACAGGCAGATTTTATGCGCTCGCTGTCCGTTTTTCAATGGGTTGTTTTACGGGAGATCCGGCGGTGTTTGGTTGGCCGGAAGACGTGATGGTGTCTCCGATTCTGGTGTTGATCCTGTTCGTGTCGATTTGAAACATATCCGTCTTGGCATCTTCAAATTTGCCTTGCGTCATATATATGCGGATACGGATGATGAGCTTTTTGAAGACGTTAAATTTGACGAACTGGATGATTTGATTGACCTGGTAATTGATGTTATGGCTGTTGCAAATGAGTTGATGCTGGATAGGCTTGCACAGATATGCCAGAAGCTGCTGGGCCGGTTTGGTATGGATGGAGCTTTTCTTTACGTTCATGAGAAAAACGCACAAATGGCTAATTCCATGCAGTCAATAATCGGAACGTATGTCATTATCTAAATGCAGTTGCACCGTGTTCGGTGACCGCTTTCAAACAGGCCGCGCTAGAGTACATCTGCTTAAATCTTGAAGCTATGCTGGAAAACAGGTATGTAGCTATTTCGCTGCTATTCCGGAATTCTCATTCTGTGGTTTGTTATTGTTACTTGTGACTTATTTCTTCGTTATAGGCTGCTTGATGACCTAGACGATGATCTATTCTTCGAACTCGACGCTGTCTGTCGAGCAAACCAATTAACATGCCAACCAGTTTCTCGGGGTCGGAATTCGGAAGATTACATCGCGGAAAGATACCCAGAAGTAATTCCTCTGCTTGAACAGGATAGGCAACGCCGGATAGATTCAATGAGGCTTCGTTCGCGTCTGCACGAAGATGAGTTGCGGGAGAGTAAATTCCGCACCGGCACCAGTGATAAGGGCGGTCTTTCCGTCAAAATTCGGCAGTCTGAACCTGTTCTCAGGGAGGCGGAGTCGATCGAGGAAGCGAGTCCAGCACTGAAGTCAAAGCAGTCAACGGGAGACTTGATTTTCCATATGGATGATGATCACCTCCTGCCCTCCAACCAACATGAAGCCAGTGTCCAGCCATCTCAGAAACAAATTGATTCAATGGATGTCGAGGGACGACCGTTGCCGATGGAAGAAAAAATTCGAGATACTGGAGCCAAAATGTCAGCAGCGTCCACAGACCCTGATAGCTCGTCTACTACGCTTCTGGTAAAATCTAATGAACGAGGTCCTGCTGGTGCTCCATGGAGTTCTGTCGGACTTGCAAATACTAAAACAGGCTTGAAGGATATCATGGCAGAAACTTTAGGATCTCATCCATCGGGCGTGGGCATAAGTATATCGACTCGACGGGATGCGCCCGTAACAAGCAAACTCATCCCATCAAAGCTCTCGCAGAAAGAGCGTAAAAAGCTCCAGCAACAGCATGCCCGTGAGGTATTTGAACAACGAGAGACATCCAAATCAAAACCCTCGCCACCTTGGCAAACCGTCGCCAGCAGATCATCTCCGGCACCTTCATTGACGCGGGCAGAATCCCAGTCAACTATGAATGTCTCGACGCCGGCTCGCACACCCTCCAAGCCGCCAATGACACTGCGGCAAACCGTCGCTGGTGTACCTTCGCCGCAAAGCAGTACGCCCAGTCCGGCTCCACAGGAGCAGCAACATGCACAGGAAACCCGATTACCGCCTTCCACACCAAAAGCGTCACCCCTACCTACCTTGAAGGCAGAGTCATTACCACGACAACCCTCCTCGTCTGCCACTCCTCCATTGACGACGCCAAACCAGACGGCCTCACGATCTCAGCCCTACGCCATCACTACCCGCAATAGAGACGACCACCATCGCCATCCACGGCAATTCAACTACTCCTGCCCTTCACCTTCCTCCAGCTCATTTTCCCTAGCCTACATTCTCGAACAGCAGCAGATCGAGAAAGACGTGATCCGGGAAGCGGCTACCACCAAGCATAAGTTGCAGGATATCCAGCTCGAGCAAGAGTTTCAGGAATGGTGGGATCAGGAGAGCAGGAGGGTGAGGGAGGAAGTTGAGAAGGCAGAGGCTGCGGCGGCGAGAAGACATGTGGCTGTGGGTTCGGGACCGGGGAGGGGAAAAGGGAAGAGAGGTAGGGGTGGAGGGGGAGATGCTAGTGGTGGAGGAAGAAGAGGTGGATCTGCGCATGGGCCAGCGACAGGCAGTGCCCAAGCCCGTTCTGATCGGGGACGAAGGGGTGGTGGTGCCATGGGAAATATCTCCAACGCTATGGCGGTGACGTCGAACGATGAAGAAAGCCCTGCCTCTCAGCTGCAAGTGCAGAGCGCTGCTGCGGATGGAAATGGACGGAGGGTTGTTTCTGATCGAGGAAGGGGAGGTGGTCGTGGACAGAGTCATAGCCTTGGCCATTCTCGAGGGAGAGGCGGTGGAGGCGGTGGAGGTAGAATTGGGCCTCGTGGCAAGGGGAAGGAGAGAGCAGTATCGACGTCGTGAATAATAGTTTGTAAAGGACGATTGTGTATTGTATCTTTATTTCCTTGCCCCCTAATCCTAACCCCAAATTCTCAAAATTTTAACCCTTAACCTGAGTGTTGGCGGGTTTACTTGCATTCGAGATTCGTTTCGTTTCTTGGTGTTTTGATGAAAGCAAATTTTTTCAACGACTTTCTTCAATTGTGTATAATTTTATGGGGTCATATAACTATTAGTTTTCCCTCAACGGACGAAAAATCGAAAATACCATGCTGTTGAGACTATAAGTAAAAATAGTTATGTATAATATCATTCATTATATAACAATCTCTATTAAACTATTCAAAGCTAATCACTGATCTTCACATATGCCTGGTTACTTGGCATTTCTCACAAATATACTCCGTACAGGAGAAGGGTTTTTCATGCCGTGATATAAATATATAGAACAGAAAAAAAGAAACAGAAACAGGGACAGAAAAGAAAAGAAAAAGAAAAACACTCAGCAATCCGCACCCCACCCCGCCGCCTGATTGTACTCTTGCCTCACCTCCGCCAACCCCCTAACCACGCCCACCAGAGAATCAGCCCAATTCCGCGGCCTGCTTTCCGCCTCTAATTCCGATCCCGCTCTCCCAATTTCAACCCCAGCCGCTCTATCCGCCTCCGCCCTGGCCACCCGAGCTTCCTCGAGCCCTACCATCTCGCCATCCTTCGCCCTCGCCAGCACCGATCGCTTAATAACCGGCGTGAAAAGCTCTAGCCACATCGCTTCGCTAAGGCCACAGGCATGCTCCTCATTGTAGCGCGCGTACCACGTGGCTGTGATCGGCTCGAAGGGTTTCTCCAGCAGGTAGAGGAGGGGCCAGGTGATGAGCCAGAGTTGCAGGAGGACGCAGACCCACCAGACGAAGGTGTTTGTGCGCAGTTTGTTGACGAGGGTGGGGGAGTAGACGGTCAGGTGGGCGTTGTGGGTGTGCATTTCTATGCAGATGTGACCGCGGTAGTTGAGGGAGCGTATCAGGGTTGTGATACCCTTCTGGATGGCGCCGTAGTCCCAGGCTTCCCAGGTGCGGTGGAAAGTGAAGCTGGAAAGGAAGAGGTGTTTAGCTTTTGTTGGGGGGAAGGGGGGACATTGAGACATATCTACTTCCATGTATCTGCAGGATAAACAAGTAAGGATACAAGGGAGGCGAGAACTCACGACTTAACTCGCGTCTTATCTTCGCAGTACCGCTTGCACCACTCCTCCAGATCTGGTTCTTCACTGCCAGGCGTCAACCCCTGAGCCTCCTCAAGCTCCGCATCGGTACCAGCAACAGCAAAACCTCCACTCCTGCTCCTGTGATGAACACCTTTGCTTTTAAGCCGCACACCGCGACACGTCTTCTTCCAATCTTCAATTCTCGCAATGTCCACAAACCGACACCGATGCCCTGGCCGACCAACATCCGGCAAGACGGAGTTGAGGCAGTTTATGCGAAATTCAAAATCCACCACAGTCTCCTTTGTGGTGTCCGTATGGTGGGATTTCCTGTTCCGTCCATAGCTCTTCACCGACTCCGTATGTATGCCCTTGACAACGATAATGGGCACGGGCGGGCGCTGGGTTTGATATGTAATCAGTTTACAAAGCGCTTCGGGATCCTGCGAGAGTTCTGGCGATAGGGTCACTGTGTAGGTCTTCTTGGCGCGCGAGGAGGACATTACTCGCCCGCCGGGGACTTCGTAGTCGCTTACTAGACGGTCTACAGAGGAGAGATTGTTGCGGCCAGGAGTGCTGGTGACGTTGGGTTGGATGAGAGCTATAGTGTCATCTTCTGTGTATGCTGGCGGACTATCCTCTGGCTCAAAGTGTTCATATGATTGGAGAGAATGAGCGGAAGCTGAGGATGAGGGGACCGGATCGTCCCTGTAAGGGCGGGCGACTTGTGGAAGACCCATGGGTTCAGAGGAAAAGCGAAACGAAAGAATGGGGATCTCGAAGATATGGAAGGAAATCTTCAAAATCAATCGAGTGGGCTAGAGGGCAAGATATCACTTGCGTCCCGTCACAACAAAAACGGTACATGATACTGAGCGAGTATCCTGTGTCAACCAGATTCTCAGCCAACGCTAACGACTTTCCATTTTCTGCGAGCAAGACAGCTGGCCTGGCGTCTCGGTTAGTTGCTAGAGGGCGATTTGGCGTATCAATTTCTAACCATACCATCGTATCGATACCTGGCTCACAAGTCCGGCCATGCCTGGGCAATGACTGGACTGGTTTCTTTGCTTTTTGCCGGGTATATTCATATCTTAGCTTCAATCACAACGCCACCAGGAGCGCAGCGGCACGAGGATTGTGTTCAAGCTTTTGGGGGGGGAAGTGTGTCAGAGAAGGCTCCTACATGTCGTTCTGATCCAGGGGGAGTTCCCCGAACATTCCTGGATCTGGTCAGAGATAATCTCCGTAATGTAATTGCTTTGGAGGAACATGGATAAATACACAACTGACGGACTATATCTACTCTGTACTCACCGCGTCTGCTCAACCACGCAAAGGAGACATCAATATTAAACTAACCCACCCCCTTTAACTAACAACTAGGTAAAAACTGCTCAACAAAACGAGATAATGCACGATGAAAGAATAAAGAACTTGGTTTTTGATAAAATATGGTAAGAGGACAAAGGCTGGTTTGGGATATGTTAGAAACACCAGAAATTGACGAATTGTATATTTGAAGGGGGAAAAAAAAAAAAAAACAGAAAAAGGAGAAAGGAAAAATAATAATATTTAACATGAGAGATGTCAATCAACGAATGCTAGATAAATAGTGTAATAGTATGTGACAATGTAAGATAAAATAACATGTCTCGGGAGAAGAAAATAGGAAGACGCTTTCTGTGATGTGGAGTAAATCTCCCATGCCAGTTATGAAAAATATAGAGAGTATGAAAAGGAGGATGGCCCAACGTAATGATCGAATCATCAGCTGAAAGAGCTCGGTGAACAAATCATTGTAGTTACGAGCTCACGCATTGCGGAGTATACATATCACCAGAGCAGAAGAAAAGAAAGAAAAGAAACAAACATGCCAGGCGGGATGAGATGCGTTAAAAGGGTTGTCAATCACCCGCAACGGCTACTTCTCGACTATCCCATATCCGTCTAATGAGTAGTTCCGCTTCATTGGGTTGATATGCGGCATGCCCATCGCCACCGCCAACGCCACCGGCACCGTCTTCATCATCTATCGGTTCTTCGTACACGTTTCCATCTGCAAGAACAATGGCAACCGAGTTGGGTCGTTGCTGCTGATGTTCCACATCCAATCGCTCAGCGGGCTCATCTGAATAGTTGACGTGGACGGTATCCTCCGAAGTCCTGAATCGTACCTGGCTGGATGATTTGGGCAACTTGCTGATAAACTGGTGGTTGACGGCGGGGTCGGAGTCAACATTTCGCGATGAAGGTGGGCGAGAAAGGGCTCCGTTGGCGACGACGGCGTTCTGTCCGCTGGACCGGGTTTGAGGGGTATTGCTGGATTTCGCATCCGCCCCTGCCATCATATCGAGCCTGAGCAAGCTTTCCGCGATGGGAGATCTGAAACGGCGGACTACTGAATACTCTGTAGTGAATTTATCATAGACCTTGCGGGCACGTTTAACTTCGCTCTCGGGATTTATGCCTGTAGTTCCTCCCATTCCCAGCAATGCCCTGCGGCCGTCTCTTGCATGGTCCCGAGAGCCGGATCCAGACTGAGTAGCCACGATAAATGTGGGTTCCATCGAAGAAGGGGCAATGGTTGGGGACGGCCCGGACATAGATGGATCGGGGGGGGAGGTGGTAAGAGTTGCGGTTCGTTGTAACCATAATTTTTGCTGTGTACGTGAGGGTGGCTCTTGTTGGCGACCGCGAGAGGTAGGCCGTCTGGAGCCCTGCGTTTCTGGGGACGGTGGCGTGTTTGGGTTGTAGTGTGGCAGGAATGAGGACGGGGGTTCAGAATCAGCCATGGCCCCAGTTTGGGAACTGGGGTTGTTTATAAGGAATTTGGATACCCCCCCTTCAATGGAAGATGATGTTCCATGCGGATTGCTCGTTGACGCACTCCCCGCAGCAGACCAGGAATCGCGGATACGGCCTGAAGGGAGAGTCGGAAAGGACGGCGGACGAGGACTTCGTTCCACTGCTGGTGGCGTTGCGGTAACTGAGACGGATGATATAGCAGGTGGAGCTTTAGACGAATGCGGTTGATGAAGGAGACGGGTAGCAATATCGTCCTGATAAAGGGGTCGTGAATGCTGTCCCTGAGGAGGCTCAGCGCCGGAACCATTGGCGCGTTCTGTAGTGTGCCGCCCGGCCTCTCCCTCAAGATCGCCGCTTGCTTGGGCTGAAGGGGATTTTTGCGCCTGGAGAGGAGACTCGGGGCTATTGTCCACACTCATTTTGGACGTAACCACCGAATTCGGCCTTGTGCTTTCCGGAGAATAAGAGCTATTATTATCTTCCCACTCGTCGTCGTCGTCCTCCGAAGCCACAAGCTCGAATCCCACTTTCTTTTTCTGCCCCGCTTTATCAACTGCTCCCGTTTTGTTCATCAAAGGCGATTTCCTACCGAGAACCCCTGATATATTCCTCAGTAACGGGGTGGAAAGATTTTTCCTGATCGCCGTATTACCCCCTTGGCCCGTCAGCGAAACCGTTGAGCCATTCCAGCGAATGTGATGATGGCCAACGCGAGGGCTCGAATCGGGCGATTCGGGCGCTGATTTTTTGCGTTGGTGGTGTCTTAACGCAGGTGCAGCGTGTGTGTCACCCTCGCCTAGAAGATTGTGAGCCGCAGCAAGTCTCTGCAACCTATTTATGTTTTTCAGTGACGGGTTGCGCGCATGCATGTGTGAGCGGTGCGAAACAACCACATGTGGCCGATTATGTTTGTGGGTCGATGTTTTGTGATGCGAAAACGTCGGGCCCGCTTCAGCGGAAGGCGATCGAAGTGGATCTGACGATGCTCGCTGCGAGGACGCTGAATGTTTAGTCGGGGACGACGTACTGTGTGACGGCATATTGGCGACAAGGAAGGGCGAATCAGAAGTGGTTATTTGCCTGCAGAAGCGCTCGTCCTGTTCCTCTTGAATCCCGCAGACGTCATGGATCTCGCCACGAAGATCGATTCCGATGGGGCTAGCTGCAGGAGGATGCGGCGCAATTCAAAGGCGCTCGTGGGGGAGCAATCGAATGTTCCGTTCGCGATGGATATAGGCGTGGTTGGGAGGTAATTGGAAGATTCTGACCGAGATGACCCGTTGGGACTTGCAGGCAAAGCTCCAATCGCGACACTGCCTTGACTAGTCAGTACACACAGGCATAGGTCGCTGGCAAACCAGAAAGAAGCATGACGGATTGACTGGAGAGTGGAAGGGGAAGAAGGGGATCCTGGTGCTCTGGGATGAAGATAGCTACAGTTCCAGGATAAACAGTTTTCCAATAAGAGACACATCTCGGCGCAAGATAAGGAAGGAATGGCAGAGAGATCCCGATACTGAAGGCGGTGAGGGAGGTCACGTGCAGGCCAGCGTGGAGACTTCCAGGTTACAAGGTTACTTATCTACCATTCAAGACACGAATGACCAGAGACAATGGGATTTGTTCTAGCCCTTCGAATAAATAGGCTAAGATAAAAGGAGCTATTAGAACAGTAGTACACATGTAAATAACTTCCCATCCAGACGTTCATAAAAAAAAACCTTAGTTTTTGGCATATCTCAGAAAATCTCATGCACTGAAAAATATAATATAACAGAGACAGTGAAAACGTTTTCTTCAAAGTAATTAGATACGGTTCGTCGGGGAGCCCCATCAGATTAAATCAACCAAGCAGGGAGAGAAAAAGGGTGAGAGAAGCCACATTGGGTATCAAATATGGCACGCAAAGAGGTGCGCGAGGAGAATACAACCGGCGCCGTGAGTGGAAGGAAGGTCAGATAAGGAAGAAAGAGTTTCATATGTCTATCAAGGGTGTTTCTTTAACCGGATGCGGGGTTGCATGTTGCTGTTGGTGGGGTACGTACGATTGCTCCACGGTCGGCGCCATGGGGACGAAACTTTGATAGACGGGATTTCCAAGTGGTGCCATGTATTGGGGACCTGCTCCGGAGTCTGGCTGCGGCCAATTATTATGGGGTTGGGAGGGCTGTGCTGCGCTTGGTGGTAGGGAGCTGGCGCCTTCCTGTGATTGGAGCTGGGGTTGGAAATGTGCAGCGGAGGACATTTGCTGGGCGTTATAGGTTACAGGTTGTGGCTGAGGAGATTGAATCACATCTGAGGAAGGATAATAGGTAGGTTGCGAGTGGTTCGACCGCGGGGTCGGTTGGGCTGTCTGGAACTGAGAGTCCCTTCGCATTGTCGGCGACGGAGGATATGATGGCTCCGGTGCAGGAACGTACTGTGGTGCTGTGCCAGCATTAGGGTCGTGGGACACGGGGATAGTTACTCCCTGTGGGAGATAGTAACCAGCTGGCCCAGTTGTGCCCGCCTGTTCGGCCTGTCCAGATTGCGAAGGTTCTCCTTGAGGCATTGGATGGACGTGATATTGAGCTGGATTATGTGTAGATTGCGGTGATGCGAGTGGCTGGTAATGATTTTGGGCGCTGTTAATTTGCTTGGATTGCGAAAGCACACCGGCATGCTGTTCGTTGCCAGGTCCGGCGGACAAATGGCGCTCAGGTTGGTGGTATTGGCTCGGAGGAACAGTATTTTCTACAGGTCCCGACCCAAAATAGAAGTTCTCTACACCCCCCTTATTATCTGGTAGGTTTGTTGGCATGGATGGATATATATTTGAAGCAGGTTGGCTGGATGGTAGATAGTTGTAGGTGCCCAGAGTGTGTTGTGCGTAGGTGTTTGAGAGACGGTCTTCAAGCATACGATCATAGTACCTGACGACTGTTGATAACTTGGCATGGAGGTCGAGAAGGGTATCTAAGATTTGGTTAGCACAGGGCCAGAAAAATTCGCTTGTAGAACATACCATGTTTACTCATTGTTTCCCCGTAAGTACGCGCTAATTTAGGTCTTAAGGCCCCTATGCTCTCATATAGTTCTTGTATTTGTGGTTCTCGCAGGATCGTGCCAGGAGGCTGATGTTGTAACCTATCAACTAGTGTGGCAAACAAATTAATATTTTCTGCTTCAATAGCAGTAAGCTCGTAGTCTTTCTTCGGCATGAGGGTGGTGGACATGGCAGTGGACGTAGATGAATTTGCTACAGTCGTGCTTTTCAGAGCAGCTGAGTGCTTCTGCTTCTGCTCTTCCATATCTTTCAACGAAGCTTGGATGGCAGCTCGCAAATCTGGATCATCATCTTCCAAGGAATCCCCATGTAGCCCGTTTGCTTCCTGCACCTTCGGCTCAGGTTTCTTTAATTCTGGTGTAGCCGCCGATTTGGTCTGTGGGACATATCCAGCACCAGTATGAGCTTTTACCTCTTCAAGGCTCATCTGGAGAGCACGTTTTAGGTCCTCATCGAAGTCCGACTCGGCTCTCCCACCACGAGGTTCCATCGGAGCTACGGAGGGTTTGGAGCTCGACGCAGGTTTGAGTCCGGATCGATTTGATGAGTTTGCAGGATTAAAAGATTTCGATGTTAGCTTAGCATAGCACCCGTCATCGACTCTTACGGCTTGCATAATCCCTAGGTGAGGAAGTGGAATGCTTTTGCTAGAACACTGTGCATCAAAAACGCTACCGCAGTTCCGGCAGTGATGTTTCCGGTTAGTGAAGGTAAAGGCAGTTCGACAGCGCATACAGACGTCCGAATCTATCCACTCTGGAGGCTTTGGGTTGGTTAAAATACATATTTGTCGAGGTCATAATAGCCCTGGTTGAGTTACTTACGGCGCTGCTGTCAAGCATGCTGCTTGCCATCTCTGTCTTTGGCGGAAACTGATAACCTTCTTTTTGCAGACCCCGGTAGGTTTCGCCAATATATGGTAGATCGGCACGGGTTTGCGTAGCCAAAGCCCATGTCTGAATCAATTCTAGTACTTTTGTCTTTACCTCTTCGTTGAGAGCGGCGGGTCCGGAAGCTCTCAGCAACGAGACAAGATTATCCATGAACTCCCGAGAAGCGATCTCCGCAAGAAAGTGGTTCCCGCCATTTTTGACACATGTATCCGTCAACTAGATATCGATTGGCCACGGTAAGCAGACGAAAACAGACAGGCCAAGGTTGGGAAGGGGTAATCGAACCTTTAGGGTCGCCAGTTGCACATTCGGATTCCTGCTCTCTAATCTTCGTTTCAGTGATCGCATAGCATCCTTGGGCTGTACGCTCTTCGATCGGATAACATCTGAAATCTCTAGGTTCGCCGCAATATCCTCTCTTTTGCTAAGTTAGAAACGCGCAGCAATATAGTTACCGCTGATGGAGAAACGTACAGGGATGACGAGGTCGCTTTCTCAACCTGCTCATCGAACGGAGAGGTAGACGTAAACCAGCTCGCCATGACGACGGTAATCTGCAAATCGAAGTTCAGGAACTCTCGGTACGTAGCGGGACAACAGAAGCTATGGGGATGCGAACAGATGTTGATCAACTAGCAGTATTCGTAGAGGGGGATTCACCAGGACGATGGCGGAGGAGAGGAAATTTAAGCTCGGTGTGGATGCCAGAAGTGTTTGATTGCGGTTAGCCACAGACTGCTCAGTCCAACCTCCAAGTCAAGGCTCCAAGGTAATCAAGTAAATTTCAACACACAGGCGGCCTTTAAAGAGCTGGGTTGTTGGCATGGTTGGAGGTTTCATATAAACGCTGCCTTGCCTCTTAAATATTAAATACCGTACAGACGAATACTTGTAACCTATGGTACACTATTTCTGCCTAGTCATGTGAGCGGCATCAAAATCCAGCCATGTCCACTCGATACAGATGTTCGACAACGTTTCCATACGGAATAAGACGCAGCCAAATACCGCCTCCTGCTCGCTGGCTGTGACGTCGTAAGACTTCCCAGCACCGCCTGTGCCAAGACTTCACCGTTGTGTATCCATTTGCTCGCTACAGGACCAGGGAGGACAAGAGTGCGACACCTCCGACTTGGATGGCAGCCTTTTCACAGTCACTGCTGTTCAGTCCTTTGGATCTCTTAAGGCCCCTATATCCATCGCTTGGGCCCCTATTTTTCGCTCTTTTTCGACCTCCTCTGGTATACTGTAGCGGGGTTTGATCCCGCCGCTTGCGAATATCGCGCTCATGAGAATGCGAATCTGCTATTCTTATATACCGGTCCTGTGATATACTTCGTGCAGTGGGGTTCCCTCCTTGTTAGGGATCCTGCGAGGAGACGCCTATCTCGATCGTTTCTAGCAGCGATAGGATAATGCGAGGTCAGAACAACATGGGCGGCGAGGACCCATCCCGGGGGATAGGTGCCTCTTCAAGATCTGTTCCGCAAAGCCATTCGAATCATACTGTTGAGCGACTTGAGGATATCACTGCGTCCATGAAAATTGATGAGGGAGCATCCGTATGTGCACTTTGCTGGCTCCGTGACAAAATGTTGAGATATTTATCCAGGTGTTAACACGATATCTTTTACCATAGCTGAACGAACTACTCCGCACCTCGGAAGATTCCATCCAAAATTCCAAGATATCCCTAGCAAATGGGAAACTAGATCTAGCCTTCGATGACTATCTCCGGGCTTCAGAAATCACTATCAACGCCATACCAAATCACGCAGATTATTATTATATGAGACGACAACATCCGGGGTGGAATGATCGGTTTATAAAAATGTTGGCAGTAAGTTCGGGAGAACATGAGATGCCCCCCGAGTTTCAGAATGGCATGGAGCATGCTAATATCTATAGACTATTCGATCGCAAGAAGAAACTATGTCGAGCGTAAAGCACAAGATTGACCAAAGCAAAAAGTCCCTCAACGGCCATCAAACAACTTCTCCCGCTCAGGGGAAGCTTTCCCGCACATCTCCCACCGAAGTAGATTCTGCTTATAGCCCATCTCTCCCTATGCATCGTCGCAGCCAACCCTCGAATGAACCTCCACTTCGCATGCCCAGCCCATCCAACTTCCAGCCCAAGCGGCCCGCATCTGTTACCCCACAAAGTTATTCTATCAGTCAGCCAAACACTGAGCAGAGACCCGGATCGGAGATCCCTCGCAAACAAGTTAATTCAGAGATCAGTGCCTCAGATAATCTTGCCCTGAGATTTGCGGAGTTGAGGAGGTCACGCCAAAATAGAAGTTCAAATGCGGCTGAGCAGAATGGCATTCCTCACAGCAGTACATCATCCCCATCATCTCCAGCAGAGCGGCCATTATCAAGAGACAACGCATTAAACTACCCTAACTCAAGACCTCTTGGACCCCGCGATATGAGCTCATCGCGAAATCCTCCTGTTATACCGCCGAAAGTTCCATTACATGTAGCAAACACCTCACTTCCTCGCTACCCGAGTCCAGCATATAGTCCAGTGTGGACAGTTCCATGGCAACCGCCCTCGAACCCACCCAAGACATCAACTGATACTGCTAACCCGGGTATATCTCTCCAGACGCCGTCTCTCAATGGCTCACTGAGTGACAATCTAAACGGATATAACGGTGACAGCCCATACCGATCCCAAACGCCAAATAGCGTTTACTCGAGGGGAGACGCACCGAGCCGCTCCGCAGACATTCCTCTGCAGCCAACTATACATCCGGATAGGCTGTACGATTATCTTCAAAAGTACGATGTATTACTCATCGATGTCCGCCCGCGGGATAGGTTCGACGCCGGTCACATTTATTCCAAGTCAATTATATGTATAGAGCCGGTTGCTCTTAAAGAAAATGTGTCCGCTGAAGAGCTCGAAGATCGGTTGGTTCTCTCTCCAGAGGTGGAGCAGTCTCTTTTCGGCAGAAGGAACGAGTTCGATTTGGTTGTTTACTATGATCAGAATACGCGGGAGGCGTCCTACCTTGTTGGCTCTCCAGCAGGTAGCAGCCTACCACATCTGCGGGCCATCTACGACACCTTATACGAATTCAATGCTTACAAGCCCCTCAAGGATGGGCGACAACCTGCTCTTTTGGTTGGCGGGCTTGATGCGTGGATCGATCTCGTTGGCCCTCACGCATTAGCTACTTCTAAAACAGCTGCTGTTATGAGCTCAATCCATGCTCGGAGGCCAGCCCAGGTCGCAGCCAAACCTCTTAAACGAGTACCTACTGCTAGCGCAAATTCCAGCTGGGAAGTAAGAAAGCGCAGGTTGCGTGAATATAAACCCCTTAACCCCGAAGAGGAACGCGTCTGGCTCGAAAAAGCTAGGAATGAGGAAATCGACCCTTCCACTTATGTAGCAGAGGATGGGGCTATCACGGAAGAGCCTGATGGCTATGATAATCAAGAGCACCCCAGTCCGTTTGTGCATGATTATGAAGATTTCTTTAGAAGGTTCCCCGAACCTCATGATATTAGACAGTCCATGGTTGGAGCACATGCGCAAGCAATCTCACCTCAAATTCCTTTGCCTGAACCTTCTCTACCTCCGTCACTTCCTCGTCCTACGCCGGCAGTTCCTCGACCCATATACAGCGGCGTGTCTGAGGGTAGGCATGTTCAAGCCCCCCTTGCCCGGCAATCATCCGCGTCTAAAACAGCGTTATATGCTTCAAGTTCACCAATTGACCGCATGAAATTACCACGCACCGGCCTCGTCAACATGGGTTCGACGTGTTATATGAATGCTATCATCCAATGTTTGAGCGTCACCGTTCAACTAACCAAATTTTTTATCGACAATCGATTCCATTCCCAAGTACAGAAAAACTGGAAGGGCTCGCAAGGTATTCTTCCTGGTTTGTTCGCGAACCTCGTAAGGTCGTTATGGAAAAATGATGTCGAGGTTATCCGTCCTACGTCGTTTCGAAATTTTATTGGACGGCTAAATCCCGAATGGGCTGGCAGCCGACAACAGGACGCAAAGGAATTTTTTGACGTTCTCCTCGACTGCCTACATGAAGATCTGAATTTGAACTGGAATAGAACACCGCTCAGGCCGCTGACAACTGAACAAGAAATGCGCCGCGAACAGATGCCAATCGAACAAGTTTCAACAATCGAATGGAATCGATACTGCCACCGCGAATACTCCTACATTTCCTCATTATTTGCCGGGCAACATGCCAGCCGACTTCGCTGCAGAACATGCCGGCGTACTTCCACCACCTATGAAGCATTCTTCAGTATCAGTGTTGAAATTCCGACATCCCCAGCATCGGGCGCAGGAGACCTCTATCAATGTCTCAATAGCTACTGCCAAGAGGAAATGCTCAGCGGTGACGAAGTTTGGAAGTGCCCATACTGTCGTTCCGAACGCGAGGCCACAAAACAGATCATTCTCACAAGGGCTCCTCGTTTCCTCGTAATCCATTTTAAACGCTTTTCGCTCTCCCGTTATCAGCAAACGCGCAAAATACACACCGCTATCAACTTCCCCATTACCGGCCTAGACATCACGTCGTTTATGGCTCCGCCCATCCGCACCTCATCTGCCCCCAACGGGAGAACTGATGGGAACAATAATCAACTACAGCCGGAGCTTGCGACCACCCCCCCTTACATTTACAACGCCTACGGCATCGTCCGCCATATAGGCTCCTCAAGTAGTGAAGGGCACTACATATCCCTCGTCAGAGATGACCGCCGTGGATGTTGGCGCAAATTTGATGACCAACGAGTGACAGATTTCAACCCCATGGGCTTGAAGCCGGCTGATAGCCTTCAAAATGATCAGGCATACCTTGTATTTTATGAACGAAAGCTAGCATATTAGACATGAACTTGGATCCTTTTTTTTTTCTCTCTCTTTTTCTCTAATTTCATTATTCGATGTATTTTCTTCTCTGGCACTACGCCTTGACATTTCTAGGCTTCGGATTCCCCCGGTGGATTTTGCGATAGCTGCTTTTAAATTAGATTTAGTTCTCTCTCTGAGCTTTATACACTTATTTTTCTCCGCTATTTTAACGAACCTTGTTTTGTGACTCACCTTTGTTTAGATTAAAGAATGAACTTTGCTTGATGTTTCGTGTTTCTCAAACACAATGTGACTCGCCGTGATGGAATTTCACAACCTATTCTGTCATTCCTGTTGAAATTGGGTATATATTTGTACTATTAAACCAAATAAAAAAATAATAATAATAATAACAATAGAGGCAGGGATGCCGCTACAGGAGGCGCATTTTATCCTATGTTCATTCTGACACGAGCCCTTTGGGATATCTCACATCCACATCTACATCCACATAGCAGCCATTCCGAAAGCCACAATCCCTGGCAAAGCAAAGATCCCGACCTCACCATTCCCATCTTTCAACCCAAGCAACGCGCCTGCAGCCGAACTCTTCTTCGGAACTGCATCAGCTCCCGTGGCTCCCGTGGCATTATATGCCATAGAGATATTCGTATCTCGAGTTATGCCCATCAGCGCCAGTCCTGGTGCGCCATATTGCAGGTTGAAGGAGATGGTTTGTCGGCCGTTTTTGGCATTGAAGCCGGGGATTGCTGCGTATTGTTCCCCGAGTTTGTCGATGATGGAAACGTCAGAGAAGGAGCCAGCATTGAGGTTGAGGTCGTAGGTATACCTGGACATCCAGATACAACGTGCGTCAGTGAAATGAGGGAGTGAGGTGTTTTAACGGTCAAGGTTTTAAGGAAGATACAAGCAAAAGGAAAGAAAATAGGAAGGAAAACATAAAAAAAAAAAAAAAAAGGAAACTTACACTCCTGGAGGCAAATCGCCGATATAAAGAAGCAGATAATTCTCTCCTGGCTGTTCGAAATCCATCCACAAATCCTCTGAAGGAATATTTTAGTTAGCCATGTACACCTTTATTACGAACAGCCAACGGGGCATCTAGATTTGAATAATTTGACTTACGGCCTGTAACATCCCGACTAGAGGTGGTCTCTATCTCCCGTTTGGCTCTCCCTCCACAATTTGTGGAAAAGCCACTTTTCGGGCGGCGCGTGGCACAGTCCCACCCAACAATCTTCAAAATGTAGGACCTATCCGGGCCACTGGCTCTTTTCCCGATGCCACTCAGATAACCCCCTTGGATATTCTGTTGCCAGGCCGGCACACATATGCTTGTCCCCCTATTGGGATTTCCTCCCTCTTTCGAGTTCGCTGTAGATTGCCGGGTCAGAGAAGATATCCAGAGTGTTGTCTTGGAGGTTGGGTCAAAAGGAAAATATTGCCTACCGAATGGAAACTCATCACATGTAAGCTGGAAAGGGTGGTTATTGCTCAGCTGGCTGGCAGAAAAGTCTATAAATTGATAATACTGATTGCAAGGCGTATTCGGATTCGCGGGATCGCAATCTATATTTTCTGGTTCTGTATGTCAACTAGGCATCAGCGACGAAGGTGCCAAGAGGATTAATTGCGAGGGTTTCTTGGAACTATACTGCAAAAGTCGTCAGGGCATTTCTTCGATCTATTATCGGCTCTGGTCTTCTTGTCTGGCTCATACTTCAATTCCATCTCTTCCGTGACGCAGCCAGTATAATCCTTTATACCTAGCGTATTTTTCAGATTAGTTCATTATCTTTTAATATATCAGATGTTAATCAATGAACAGGGTAATTACCGTCACACATGCTATTTAGCACCTGCACAGATATTCATCAGCAAGATATTCAAAAGGAGGAAGCATATCTCAAGTTTCTCGTACCTCCCTATTATCAACGCAAACCCCCCGCAGACCCCCCCTCCCATCAGATACCTGCATAATTTTCTCCCTAAATCGCATGCTTACTGTGGGTGGATTTCCTGGAGCAGCTTGTCGCGGTCTCTTAGGAACAGAACAACGAGACGAAGTTGGCGTGGTCGTTGACTGGGTTTTTGTTGAGGACGACGTAGTCCTGCTGACTGAAGTCCGAGTCATAGTGATCTGAACGGGCGTCGAGCAGCTTCCGTCAGATCCACATTTTCCTCCCTGCGGACAGCAGTTTATCGGACAGCAGAAGGTTCCCAACAAGCAAGCACCCGAGTAATCTGGACAACAAAAATGCGTCTCTGGCCAAAAGTAGTATCGCGAGCCGCAACATTCGGCACCAGGGGGTTTGCATTTTGAAGGAACATTCGGACACGGTACTACCGACAAGTTAAGGAGGCCGAAAAAAAAAAAATGGAAAGAGACACAAAATTTGAAGGGAATAGAAACAGACAGATGAAATTAATAGCTTCTGCTACCCCGGCAGCAAATTAGGAGAGGGTATCTGGAAGAGGGGAAATTAAAATCGCCATACCCCACAAAGGATTTATGCATCGCGATCCCTGACGCTTTTCTAACACTGCATCTCCGAGTGCGCCCGGAGACCTAGCTTCCAAGGGAGCTTCTTCGAGGCCAGAGACCAGATTTAAGGTGAAGCCAAAGTTGTCTGCTTTCACATATGTCTTTCCATCATGGAGAACTTCTTGCGCCAGAACGGGTAGGGCAGCAAAACAAAGAAACAGAGTGTAAACGTAAGACTGTACAGCAACCATATTGCAAGGAGAGGGAAAAAATACTACTACCATCACAGTGAAAGTATGTATGTTCCAATGATAAATATTTAATGCAAATTTGAGAGAGGTCTGATTAAGATTAAGATTATGGAGGGCGAACGAAGGGCAGGAAGGTCAGAAATGTTCATCTGTACCTCGAGATAAACGGGATATAATTAATATATGTAAAAGGCATCCTCTGACGAGAAGGTGGCTCCTTATGGCAAAGAAATATGGCGATCATTCAGAGAGCAACCAGGGCTTCTCGATTGACCGACTTGGGCTGTGTCTGTTCCGACCCCGCCTTGCAGATCCCCCAAAACAACCTCTCTCTTCAACAAATGAGCCTCGCATTTCCAGGCTGGCTGCCGAGCGAAATCCTTGTCATGACAGGTCGGTGTCTCCGATATGGTTGTCACAAACACGGCAAAGAAAATGGACATCCACTGCGGAACAGGGATGTTAGACGGGGGAGCAGATATGGGTATGCATGCAGGGACTCTGGGAGAACATGTCGGAGTCAACGCAGCTGTTCGTAATTTGGCACTTGGTCCCTGGAGCTGTGGCGGGGTGGATGACAGGGAGATGGAGCAAGGAGGTCAGAGCGTCGATGACTGTTGAGCACTGCCCATTTCCCCCTTCCAGATGGCTATCGCTACAAGTGAGGCTAACATCACGGCCTGCATCTAGTAAAGTTTAACTGCTCTATTCAGATGTATCTGTACAAATTACAAAGGTCAAGAGAAGCAAAGAGTGAGTGAGGAACTGATGGTTTGGAGGTAGACGTTGAGTTAGCCATTTAAGCTTATTTATTTAACGTTTCCAGAAGCAAAGAGCCCCATTTCACTTCCAATGTACAGATTAGAGACACACCACATTCTGCAGCTGAAGATCCACCTACGCTTCCCCTCTCCCCAGTTTTTCTTTCATATACGAAACAGAGTGCTATGTACTCCGTACAGCCCCTGTTGATTGTTGCCTTCCTCTTGACCGTTGTCAGCAGGCTCTTGCCCATCAGCAAGACCACCCTCAGTATCGCGACAGCCAGTACATCCATTTCTGCATTACCATTCCATAGCCAAGTGACCATCAGCTTCGGAACGAGAAAGGCTTTCCCGGCCCGGAGCAGACGTGGAGGATATGGAATAGGTGAATAGCATCCCGACACTCATTGGAGAACATCGCTCTACCATTGCTTGCAAGCATCAATTTAATAGTTATTCAACAATCCGGCTCGCCCATGATCACCAACTCCCCGGCACTATTATCACTGAGGGCGAAACCCCCCGTCAATTGACAAAGGATAATAATCCAAATTGGCCTCGGAAGACATATTTTCCCAACCCTTGCTCAAGCAGTTAGTTCTCTTTTGACAGCCCCAATGGAAATCATCAACAAATACACGCCTCATGCGCCACGGCATGCAGGACAACTTATTATCTCACGATGTGGCAAAATGCCCACAAATAAGCTGATGGGTGTTGGAAATTTACCAATCCCAATTCGCAGACTATGAGATGCCATGTATCATTTCAAAATACACCTTTCCTAGCCCTTCACTCACCACCAACCCCCAAGAGAGAAATTCTTCAACAAGCGCATCACCACCGCACACATCTGGACCTGGATTCTATTCCATGGACAACCCCCCTTCCCGGAAACCTTCACGAGGTATCCAGACGGCATAATTGCCAAGATGGACAAATATTCCGTCCTATTGCCCGTGCGCTGCCCGGGGGGAAGGGAGGGGGGGGGGGGGGGGGGGGTTTCTGCGTTCACCGCTCGGGATCACAGGTTAGTTCGCCAACCACCAGCATGTAGCTGTCTTCCACCCGTCGTCACCAGCAAGCGGATCCGGGACGTGGCCCATGGACGAACTCAAGAGTTCAGAGCTCCCTAAAGGACACATACCGAGGGGCTATGATGATATTCGAGTCCGTGGAAGGACCCACGGCGAAGAATTTTCTTCTGCTCCTGGCGTCTTGGGTTATATGGCGGCGACCGTTGGGCGAGGGTGGGGTTGGAGAAGTCAGATAGAAGCAAGCAAGCGGGGGGGGAAGAATCCGCTTTTCCATCAAGGAGGGCAACATGATAAATAATATATAAGTACGGGTCAGTAGGCTTCGTGCTACTGAGCACCTTCTATTCTCAACGATCAAAATTGCGACCCATATCCATTTCCTTTCATGTTATCCATCTCATCTTCCATTATCATTGTTATTAATTAGTCTTGAACTTCTAAACATTACCGCTATCCTTCGTTTATTATCATAATTGTTTTTCTCGCACCTCCTTCCTTCCCATCCAATAACTTAATTTAATTTGCTTTGTTCCAAAAAAAAAAAAAAAAAAAAAAAAAAAAAAAAAAAATTAATAGAAAATAAAGACAAGAAACAGATAAACAAGCTACGAACTCACCCAAGCTCTAAAAAAACTAGTTGGTCAATCAAGATAAAGAAAAGCGAAGGAGTAACTCCATCTGTATAATTAAGTCGAAGAGTAGAGAAGAAAAGATTCAGAGCAAAGCAAACCGGAAGAAAGAATTAACTCCATTTTCTGAGAACCCTCGCAGCATTTCAGAAAAAGTTTTTGGTTATGTTGTATGAAAATGATATTGATAGTGAGAATGCAAAGGAGAATGAAAATGAATATAACAATCAAGACATTTTATCAATCGGTAACAATTACAGATAAAAAAGAAAAGTAGTAATTCACCACCGTCCTACATTACAAAAACTACAGCTCATCATGTCCGCTCGGCTCGTCATCTTCACCACCAGCAGCCCCGCTCTCAGAGCCATACAACTTGCTCGTAATCGGGTAGGCAACGCTGGACAGTTTCTCCTTCTGCTCCTCGAAGTCCTCAGTTGAGGCCGTCGCGGCGTTCTCCTCGAGCCACTCGGTGGCTTCCTTTATGGCTTCCATGAGCTGTAATTATCAGTCGTTAGCTTCTAAATGTTTCACAAGGACAATACACTGTGGATAATGGGTTTGGGATAGGAAATGAATGGGGGCGGGAAACATACCGTCTCCTTATCATCGTCATCAATCTTGCCACCGAGCCCTTCCTTATCATTTACCTGGTTCTTTAGGCTGAACGCATAATTCTCTAGAGCGTTCCGGGCCTCAATCTTAGCCTTCATCGCCTTATCTTCCTCCGCGAACTCGGCAGCTTCAGCGACCATGCGGTCGATCTCTTCTTGTGAGAGGCGGCCCTTGTCGTTGGTGATGGTGATGGATTCAGCTTTGCCGGTGCCTTTGTCGCCGGCGGTTACTTTGAGGATTCCGTTGGCGTCAAGTTCGAAGGAGACCTCAATTTGGGGCACGCCTCGGGGAGCCGGAGGGATGCCGGTTAGTTCGAATTTGCCGAGGAGGTTGTTGTCCTTGGTCATGGGGCGTTCTCCTTCGTCTGGTGGGAGTTGTTAGTACATTGTCTTTCTTTCTGCTGCAAAAAGGGTTCGAAGGATTGGAATTAGGGAAATGTAACGTACAAACTTGGATAAGGACCACGGGCTGGTTATCAGCTGCAGTAGAGAAGATCTGGGACTTGCGGGTAGGGATGACAGTGTTACGGGGGATGAGTTTGGTCATGATGCCTCCAGTAGTCTCAATACCAAGGGTCAAGGGGTTGACATCCATGAGAACGATCTCAGAGGCACCTTCGTCTCCAGAGAGGACACCACCCTGGATAGCAGCACCAAAGGCAACAGCCTCATCAGGGTTGATACCCTTGGAGGCCTTCTTGCCGCCAAAGAACTCCTCAAGGAGTGCCTGGACCTTCGGGATACGAGTGGAACCACCGACGAGAACGATATCGTGAATTTCGGACTTCTTAACCTTGGCGTCCTTGAGCACCTGCTCGACAGGGCGGAGGGTCTTCTTGAACAGATCCATGTTCAATTCCTCAAACTTGGCGCGAGTCAGGGTCTCGGAGAAGTCCTTGCCGTTGTGGAAGGCCTCGATCTCAATACGGGTGGACATCTGGGAAGAGAGGGTACGCTTGGCCTTCTCAACCTCGCGCTTCAGCTTACCCATGGTCTTGAGGTCCTTGGTGATATCGACGTCATTCTTCTTGTTGTACATCTGGACGAGGTGGTTGATGACACGTTGGTCGAAATCCTCGCCACCCCAAGTGAGTATCCACCGGCGGTGGCCAAGACCTCGAAAGCGGCCATTATCAATGGACAAGAGGGAGACATCGAAGGTACCTCCACCGAGATCGTAGACGATGATCTGGCGCTCATCGCCAGTCTTGTCCAAACCGTAGGCGATAGCTGCGGCGGTGGGTTCGTTGACGACACGGAGAACATTGAGACCGGCGATAGTGCCGGCGTCCTTTGTGGCTTGTCTCTGGTTATCGTTGAAGTAGGCGGGTACGGTGACGACGGCATTGGTGACGGTCTTTCCAAGGTAATTCTCGGCGATCTCCTTCATCTTGCCCAGGACCATGGCGGAGACCTCCTCAGGAGTGAAAACCTTGTCCTTGCCGTTAACCTCAACCTTAACCTGGGGCTTGCCATCCTTGTTGACAACACGGAAGGGGAAATGCTTCATGTCCTTTTGGGCGTCTTGGTCGTCGAATTTCCGACCAATCAAACGTCTTTAAATAGAGAAAAAGAGAGAGAAAAAAAAGAAGAAAAAAATTAGCTCAACAAAACCAACATCCAAATGACAGAAATTGGCAGGAAGATACATACTTGATATCAAAGATCGTCCTCTTCGGGTTCGCAGCGTACTGATTCTTCGCCGCGTCGCCCACCAACCGCTCATCGTCCGTAAAGGCCACGTACGAAGGAGTAATTCTGTTTCCCTGGTCATTGACGAAAATCTCGACTTTGCCATTCTGCATCGCTCCGACGCAAGAGTATGTCGTTCCCAAATCGATGCCAATTACTGCGCAAAACGGCAGATAACAAAACAAAGGTTAGCAAATGCAACTAACAACTGCGGTACCTTTTTCCTTCTTTCTTCATTTCTTCACTCTTGTATAGAATAAAACCTTCTACAGGGAATCAAATCATACCGGTGCCATAATCTTCCTTGATGGGCACTTGATCATCCCCCGCGTGTGCCGTCCCCAGAAGAGTAAGGGGTGCAATGAAGACGAGGAGGAGATAGAGGACCGTTGTCCAGGCGAAGGGCGAGGACGAAGCGTCCCGTCGCGACATTCTGGACATGGTGTCTGTGTGTGTGTTCGTGTGGGTGTGTTCGTGCGAGTGATACGAGCTTAGTTTTCCTTCCAGAAGGGAGAACCAGCTTTTAGTGAAGCTATCTCTTGCTCTCTCGCAAGGGCTCCTTTCCGTCTTCTATCTCGACGGGGGTGGAGAAGGGGGATGTTTGGAAAAAAGAAAGAAAGAAAAAAACAGCAAACAGCTCAGAAGGGGTATCTTCAATGCAGGGAAATGCTCAAGTCTCGTAGCTTAGCTGTGCTGAGCTCGCCCTGGAGAAGGCATATATGAGAGAGGGAGAGAGAGTGTGAGTGAGTGAAAGTGAGAACGAGGTCGACGGAGATCGACAGATGTGGTTTTGTATGCTCCTTCCGCTTTGTTCTTAACAGTTGGCCTTTTCAGACGCTGCCCACCGCCCGCGCTAGTCTGCTTCGGGCCCTAGCGCCACGACCCCTGCCACGCCCCGTGCGGCTGTGGCAATTGCGCGCTGGCCGTTGAGGGCGATTCCGCCGCCGCTGGTTGGCTGGGCGCCCGTGACTCAGCACGGTGCCGCGGTGCCGCGGTTGCCGCAGGGGTTCTGGTGCCTTCCACCGTGGAAGTAGGCCACGCTCGGGCGTGGCGATAGACGCACGGTGGAAGGGCTGCAAGGGGTCGATACAAGCCCGGTGATTGAAAGGACACTTTTCTACCTGTGTATGGGAGAGCAAGGCAGGAGATGAGACGGTGACTGTGACTGCGACTGCGACCCTTGCCGCCTTGCTGTGGACAGGTTGTTCCACTTTGTGTGTTTCATTTTATGCTTTGTTTTTTTTTTTTTTTTTTTTTTTTTTTTTTTTTTTTTTTTGCACGGGAATTCCTACGTAGCTGTTGACTTGTAATCAGCTGTGTTCTTTGTGAACTTGCATAGTACTAGTAGAAGCCGTATCTTGCCATGACCTCATTCCTAGATGAGATGGGAACGCCCTTATACCTTGGGGGAATAAACCTTATCGGTCAACCAAGCGTTCACGCAATCAATTCATCCAAGCGTCCATCCATCCATGGATCTATCCTTCGTCGTCTAAAATGTAATAGGAGAAAGGGGGACATTTCCATACCCCCAAACCATAACAAAAGAACAACAATAAATCACTCCAACAATCCGGCCGCAACAGTCTCACCCGCAGCTCTCAGAACAACCCTCCCCGGCGCTTCCAGCGGAATCGCCTCCTCCAGTTCCACCACGATCCGCGCAACGCCTCCAGGCCCCACGATCTTCGGCCGCTTCTTCACGGCCACCCCGCTGCCCTTGTCCAGCAGCGCAACCAGCCGACTGATGCGCCCGGGCACCTGTAACCGGCCGCGATGCACCTCGATGTGCATCGGCGTCAGATGATCGAACGCCAGCACTTTCGCCGTGAACGACGTCACGTTCTTCACCGGCGCGGACGGGCTGCACAGAATGTCCCCGATCCGCACGTGCGCCGGGTCGATGTCCGTCAGGTGCAGCGTGACGTTCTGCCCCGCCACGCTCCACTCGCTGGGCGTCTCGTCGACCACCAGGCTCCGGACCGTGCATGTCTCCCCGCTAGGCATGGTGGTGAGCTGGTCGCCGACCTGCAGGTGGCCCGCGTCGAGGCGCCCGGAGATGGAGAGCGGGTTCTGCACGCCGCCGCGGAACACGTCGGTGATGGTCATGCGCAGCGGCTTGTCGAGCGCGTACGTGTATGGCTCGGACGTGTCGAGTTCCTCAACGAGCGTCCGGCCGGTGTACCAGCTGGCGTTCGTGTCGTGTGCGCGCTGGGCCACGTTGTCGCCCCGTAGCCCCGAGCAGGGGACGAAAGAGATGTTTTTCGCCTGGAAGCCGGCTGTGGTGAGGAAGGAGGCCGTTTGCTGTTGGATCTCGTCAAAGCGGTCGTGCGACCACCCGGCTGCGTCCATCTTGTTCACTGCAACGACGATCCGTTGGACGCCCATGCTTCGTACGAGGAGCGCATGCTCTTTCGTCTGGCCCCTTAGGCCCGATTCGAAGTTTCCGGTCGTGGCGTCAAGGACCAGCACCGCAAAGTCCGCTTGGCTTGCTCCCGCAATCATGTTGGGTACGAAGTCACGATGGCCCGGCGCATCTAGGATCGTAAAGTTGGTGTTCTCCGTCGCGAATCGATTGGTTGCTATATCGATCGTCACCCCACGTGCCCGCTCCTCTGACCCCTGGTCAAGCACCCATGCCAGTGCAAACGAGCCCTTGCCTATCCTATCGGCCTCCTTTTGGTACCTATCAATAGTTCGCTGGTCAACCGCCTTCAGTTCGTAAAGCAGTCGTCCCATCAGTGTGCTTTTCCCAGCATCGACATGGCCTATGGAATCACAATGATATCAGATGGTTAGCCTCGATCTCCCATCTTCCTTGTAGCCACGTTTCTATTGGATTCCATACCGATGACAACAAAATTAGCGGCTTTTTTCCTCTCAGTTTTGCGATATTCGGCCAAAACATCAATATTCTTGCTTTTGACCTTCACTGTCTCCTGGATAGACAGCTCCCCAACGCCTTCCACCACATCATCATTCTTTCCTGGTGACGATTTATTCGCAGTCGTCCGTTTTGTTTTATTCTTATTGGAATTGCCTATTAATTTTTTACGCACGAGCGGTAAAAAAAAATGAAACACCACAAAATGGTTAGGCTTCAAACTTTTCATACTTCACTTCTTTAAACTGTTTTTCACTTCTAACGCGCATTTGCTGCGACTGTGCGAATACTGAACAAACCTTTAGCTGACTCCCGTGCCTTGATGACAATATCGTCCGGGCTTGGTTCTGCAAAGTCAAATGCTTCAGTAAGATCCTGACCAAAGAATCGCATGACGTCGATGTTATGTGAGATGGGGTTGGATATGAAGCCGCCATCACGGTCACCTCCATCTTCAGCTCCTCCCGCGCCGACAAGGACCAGGGCAAATGCTGAAGGTTCCGCTCGTAGGTTAGGCAGCTTCGAGGGGCGTTCCACTTCCTGCGCCGTGCTTTCTCCAGACAGCGCTGCTGTGGCTTTTCTCTTTTCATTCGGAGGAACGCCAGGCACCGTGGTGGTAGATTCCGGCGTGCCCGCAACATCAGGACTAGCCTGGAGCGGCTTCTTGAGCGACGACCAGTTCAAAGCATTCTTCCCACTCCGCAATGGCAGGTGGATGGAGCGGGCTGGCAGAGCTCCTTGTGCCTTCCCGTCAACCGCTAACCTATCCAGCAGCGAGACATGGGACTTCCGCTGTTGATTCTGAGTGCCATCGGATGTCTCACTGCCAGTAACCACACCACCACTGAGAGCTTCCGCCGCAGCCTTCCTCTCGCTCTCTTTCCTCTTGCGCGCAGCTAGCGCGGCAAGTTTCGATACCTTCCCCGATGACTCTTGCGCACCACCAAGCAAGCCCAGTCGGGGGTAGAGAGGTTCGATTAGGATATCGGCTCTGCGGCGGGTGGGGATATTCAGCCATGGCGAATCCTTGAAGAAGTCGGCAGCGGAGAAAGGTTCTGGACACATCGGGACGGGGTATGGAGATGATGATGGAGCGGCTCCTGGAGGAACGAATTAGACAAGGGGACCTTTTTTCTTTTATTTTTTTTCTTTTCTTCTGAATTTTCTTTCTGTTTATTTCGCCAGAAGACCCAACAAAAGGAAGAAACTATTCGCTGGCGTTGGATCAGTTGGTTGGGAGCGGAAAAATATACAACAGAGCAAAAGATCGAACCTAGGAGAAGAGGAACATACGCTTTTGAATCGGATGTTCGCAATTTGCAATCCGCCCACGACTTCCTCAACAGCCATATATTTATATGTATGAAATAGGTTTTCCGAGCCATTCGCCCTCACATGGAATGATAGGAAGTGTAGTTCCCGTAGGAAAAGAAGTAAAAATAGCAATTAAAAAAAAAAAAAAAAAAAAAGGAATCTACTTACCCTTAACCTTCACCTGCTGCTGCTGCTGCTTCTTCGGCGTTTTCGTTGTATATTTCTCTACCCACACACAATAAAAAAGATCTCCAATAAGCAACTCCACACGCATTTAACAGAAGAGAGAGAAATCAAAAACATACTCCGCAGGAACCCCACCGCCTTGTCAACGTCATAGTAGTAATACCACAGCGCCTCCCAGATCTCCTCGTCGGACGCGGGGACGGGCGGGGTGTCTGTATCTAGCAGTTGGCGCACCTGTGCGGAGCCCTGCTGCATCTGCTCGCGGTCTTCAGGGGTCATGTCGTTACTGTCATTGTCGTCGTCGGAGGGGAAGTCATCGTGGTCGTATGCGATGTTTTTGACACGGTTGCGGGACATGGTGGGATGAGCGGGGAGCGTTAAAAGAGGGGGGGAGAGGATGAGGTGAGAAGGGCATAGGAGATGGGATGGTTAGGTTAGGTGACGGAGTGACTGGATGACGAAGGATCTTCTTTTGCTGGGATGATCTGATGCAGATGAGTTGCCATGTATATATACGTGTCTCGATACTGTCGTGCTAGGTCTATGTATTCCAGATCAGAAAGGGTGGTTGGCGTTGGTGGTGAAGCAGCATCGACTGTAATGATGCAAGTTGCTTGGCACCACGACGCTGCAGGACCAACAACGCATTGATGAAATACTAGTATACTATGCAAGTCATGACATATCCGTCGGCTCATATTCTATGAAACACTCGTATAATCTCCAGGTTTGATCTTTCTGGCCGCTTGAATTGCTCTGGCATCTGGCCATTTCAAGTTGATATATGGTATCTATACTGAGCAAGGCTACGACGGATGCTCTAGTTATTATCTTCAAGAAACACTGAGCAGCTAAATAGAAGAGGACGTATGAATGCACAGCATACATAGAGAAACAGCATCAAAAGCAAGGTGCCCGGTAGTTATATAGTTTGTTCAAAGATTCTCCATATTACCTGCGAGTATTCGGATGGGTGTTATATTTATCAGAAGATATCTCACTGGCAAGGGAGGACAAACGATACTAACCAATGCAGAGTACAGTAAACCATCCCTCCTTCTTCCATCGGGATACTACTTCTACTGCTACTAGTAGTCGTATGCTTTCTTACCCATTCCGCAGCGAATATCCACGCCCACACACCAGCTTGACCCCGTTTCCACCGCGAACAGGAATGAATCAGCAAGCGGTGATTGGCTGAGGCAGTCAGCGAGGCAAAAAGATTTCCTCATGTCGACAAAGGAACAAAGAAACGCCAGCTCCTATTGTACATGTACATTGTGTCTGGCTAGAGTGTGTGAGAGAGGGAGCGAAAGAGGGAGAGAGGACCGTCCTGGATTCTGATACTACGAATATCTCGTGTGGTAATGCTTGAAGCCTGGAGTAATATAATAGTAAAAGAGAGACAGTAATGATAATGAGAGATTGCTGGAGAGCATAGCCATATTTACTCGTTGTATGCTTGAAACACACATGCAAGATAGCGCTTGGCATGCTCAAGAAATAAATATCTTCCCGGCTGCCGCTTGATTTTAAATCAACTTATTTATTGACCGCTAGTATTTCTGATTTTGACCTTCGGACCTTGGGTTTTTTGATTATTGTTATTAGCGAGGAGTCTTCCAGTCCTGCTTGTGATAATTTACCAATTGTTGTATTTACTATTTTTGCCGACTTAAATACCGTCCCAAATCCTCATCAGCCTCGCCTCTTCACCTCCAACCTCAACAGCTACCCAACACACTCACTCACGCGCATACGCTCGCTCTCCCTCTGTCTCCTCACCTCCTTTACTCTCGTCGTGTCCTCTCCTCTCGTCCCTGGCCACATTATCCAGAACGAAAAGACCTTCTCTCGCACCATGTCTGACTCCAAGGAATTGACCTTCAAGGAACTCGCCGAGCACAACACCAAGAAGGACCTATATGTCACCATCCATGACACAGTCTACGATGTCTCCAGCTTCGTCGATGAGCATCCGTACGTTTGCCCTTTCCACTGAATTCCTCTCCTCAATTCACTATCTTCCCACCCCCCCCTCCATTTGCCTTTGTTGGATTCAATTGGAGTGGATCGGAGAAAGAGAATTTGCTTACCTCTCTCCGGTTGAACCTCGACCTGCCTCCTGATGCCATTTCTTATATACTTCGTCTTGATCTTTTTTTTGTCCAGTCTACATTCATTTATCCATACAAATCTGCACATCCACCACATACAAAGCTAACTATCTCAACAACAGCGGCGGCGAAGAAGTCCTCCTCGATGTCGGCGGTCAAGATGCCACCGACGCTTTCGAAGACGTCGGCCACAGCGACGAGGCCCGTGAAATCCTAGAGCGTCTCCAGATCGGAAAGCTGAAGAGACTAGTGCGTTTGGTTTTTTCTTTTGTCTTCCTCCCTTGCCCTTTCGGAACCCGCAAATTATATATATGTACACGTACACAACAGAAGAAATAGGATAAATAATAATCTCACCCAATCCCATCCTCTTTTCCTCACATCCCCGAAAGCTCAGAACCTAAACCCCAACATTCCAACAATGGCTAACCATCCCCCTCCCCCAATGATAAATGCTACAGCCCGGCGACCCCGTCGCAAAAGTGCAAACCCCCGCCGTCTCCTCCACCACGAGCTCGCAAGATGTTAGCGGCTTTGGCGTCGGCCTGTACGCCATCCTCATCCTGGTGGGCGCCATTGGATACGGTACCTATCAATATATGTTACAGAAGGCATGATTAAGGCATAGATTTTTTTTTGTCTTTTTCCAAAACAATAAATGTTTTTTTTTTCAACATGTTCTTTTTGTGGTGTGGATGTAAGTGTATGTTGGGCGGGTGTGAGTGAGCGTGAGTGTGAGTTTCCATTTTTTAACATTAATCGGGGGTTGTGTTTTTATTTCTTTTCCTCTTCAAATATATTTCTATTTTCTGCCCGCGCATGTTTTCCTTTTTTTTTTTTTTTTTTTTTTTTTTTTTTTTCTGTAGCTCTTTTGTTTAGAACAATTTTGTTTTTGCTATTTTCGAAAGATATATATTTTTTTCCCCTGTTGATAAAAATCTAAAACTAAAACAGAACAATAAAATCGATGAACTTCTCCCCCCCCCCCCTTTTTTTTTATCCCGTTTCCCCTCAATGTATTTTTTAAATTTTTAGTTTATTTTATTTTTATTTTCGTTTTTAATTTCTTCTCTTCCATCAACCTACTTTCTCGAGTTTGCCGTACTAAACATGATGAGAGGGGAATGGGTGATACTATAAGAAGGCAGAGAAGAAAACGGGAAGAGAGCAAGAAAAGAGTCAAAAAAAAAAAAAAAAAAAAAAAAAAAAAAAAAAAAAAAGAAAAGAAAAGAAAAGAAAAGAAAAGAAAAATCTCCCTTTCCAATCAATCGAGAGACAGCCCCATTGCCATTCCGCATGTTTGTCTCCAATTTTCCCTGTTTTAGCCGTTTTCGATTTTGACTGACGTTTATATACGACTACGCATCTACCTGGCGCGAACCATAGATAATCTGATATGTCTATCTATCTACTGGAGTCTTGGAGGCTTCCCCTTCTCTCTTTTATTTGACGGGACTTTTCTCCTCTTTCCACTTCTTCCAATCTTCTGTCCTTGGAATCCCGCCGCGGGGAGATTTGGCACTGTTTCGTTTAGTTAGATGATTGGCTGCGGCTCTTTTTACCTGATTTGGTTTGCTTAGAGGGGCCGGGGATAAGCACACACCACTATTATTAACTATACACGTAGATAACTGGATTTGAAATACTGCCTTGTTCCGTGAGCAGGTTTATGTGGG